ATTTGCAGCACACAACAACAAACAATAGCTGTATTGGTTGAACAAAAATCGGGACTCACTGCTGAACTCGACAAATATACTGCAATGGCTGATCGATTCAAACGTAGTGAAGAGTTATTAGAAGAGGGGCAATTACTTGTAGATGCTTTGCGAAGACAAAACGCAGAGCTTGAGGATAAAATTCGTGATGGTGAAGCTAAATTAAAAGAAGCTGGTGATAAAACTGAACGAACATTAGAAACATTAAGATTGCAGGTATTGTTTATTTTCGCAAATCGTTCAAAGATCTTTTGTATTTATTTAATATTATCTCCTCGTAGATAGCGAGAGCTGAGAAGCTCGAAAAGGACAATAATCAATTGTTATCACAATTAAGCACAAAGGATTCTATTATTGAGCAATTGACAGCGGAAAAGGCAAAAATTCGATCGACTTCTGGAGAAGTGGAAAGGCTTACTAAGTCACTTCAAGATAAAGAAGATCGATGTGAAGCTCTTGAGATTGAGTTGTCAAACATGCGACATCGACTTGCCAATACTGAGCAACAACTTTTAGATAAGGAAGAAAAACTCGCAAATGCTGAACGAACTTCCAAAGAAACAGAAGCTAAATTTGAATCATTAAATAATCAAATAGTGGTTTTATTTACACAAAACACAGAAACCAAACAAAAATTAGAGTCGTTGCAAGTTGAGCATGAGGCAAAATCAAAAGAAGCGGCTGAACACTATGAAAAGTTGACGGTTAAATCAAATGTTGCTCAGGAACTTCATACAGAACGAGAATCTCTTACCAAGGAGCTTCAATCCGTTCAAACGGAAAATACTAAACTAACAAAACGAATTAAAGATATAACGACAAAAATTGATGGATTATCTGCCGATAATCGTAATCTAATTGATCAATTAAGTGAATTAAGAGAGAAAGTAGTGGAAATTAGTAATGACAAATTGGTATTAGCTGAGGAAGTTGATCGCGAAAAGAATCGAGCTAATAGGCTTGAAATAGAACTGGCAGACTATCGTAAAAAATACGATGAAATCTTATCTAAACAAAATGGAAACGCGAATTTATTTAATGGAGACTTAAATTCATCCGCAAACCAAGAACAGCTTCAAGAACCTATGGATTATGGACAACAAAAGGTCCGAAAACTCGAGCATCAACTTTCGCAATTACAAGCTGCGTATGACTTGCTGAGTACCAAAAAAAATACTGTTGCAGAAGAATCATCAATCACATCACCTACTACTGTTCCTCTGTATTCTGTTGACCCCCCTCCGACGGAAATGAAGAACGTTACAAAACTTACTCATCAAAAACCTCGTCGCTATGTTCCATTTCCAATAGACAATACAGATAATGGCGTTGGTTCTCAATTATCACTTGATACTCCACCACCGCCTCCGAATACACCTCGATCTCCAGTCGTACCAATTAATAACACCGGTGCTATAATGGAAATAGCAGGTTGCTCTGGTTGTACTGGCGAAATTATTGTTGTCTAATTCTTAATAGTATTCTTGCCATGTATTATTTTATCGTGATGGATATTGACAATATCGCTTTTTTACAGCCTTAAAGCGATATATTAATAATGCGATAGCAAATTAATGTTTATTTTTTACCAAAAAAGATGGTAATAATCTATTCACCGTAGCTTTCCTATATCTTGAACAATATTATCCATGATTATTAAGCACAATCAAATTGTCAAAATTTTGATAACGATAATAAAAAACAATTATCGCCTAAACTTTATTTTACAAATTATTTAATTATTTACATATTATTCACTTAAAATGTGTTGAATTTATATTTGTAAATATGTATTTTTAAAATACAAGTACCATTAGCTAAAACTCTAATGATTATAATCAGTTAAGAAAAATAATGTTCATGAATTTTAGCTAGATTAGATTATTCAATACTAATTTTTGTTCCACGAGGCTCAATTTTAGGAACGAGGATGGACAAAATTCCATCTTTATAAGCAGCTTTCACCTTTGCTGGATCAATCCTACCGGGGAATTGGAACGACCTAGAGAAGTTTCCAATTACACGTTCGCTTGACCAATAATGAGGTTGTCCAACATCAGTTGTTTCATCTGCTTTAGCTTGTACTTCAGTTGATTCTGCGGCACCACCTTCTTGACCAGCGCCGACTTTTCTGAGTGGCTCTTGTTCAGCAGCGCTACCACCACGATTCCTTTCAATTTTTCCTTTCAACACTAATGTGTTGTCGTCGAGAAATTCAACCGACAAGTCCTCTCTTTTCATACCAGGAACTTCAGCTTCGACGATATAATCTTTATCTGTTTCGGAAATATCAACGGATGGGCTAAAGCGATTACTGATAGTAGGTGGTGCCAAGGTAGGAAATACAGAAGGAAAACGACGAGTTGCTGTGAATAGAGGCTCGTCAAGTAAAGAGAAAGCTCTTTCGATACTTGGGAATAAAGTTCGTGGAAGAAGAGACATGTTTAAATAACTTATTCAAACTGTTTTGTATGTGTTTGAAGAAAACTAATAGAATTGCGTTATTTGTTAAAAGAAATAATTTTTGTTATCAAAAGAACGACTACCTAAGCTTAAGACAACTCCTTTATATATTTTAGACCTGCTAGCCTCCGAAAGTTCATGAAACTGCTAGAAATTTTTTATCAAGCCATAATGACAAAATATGATCTTTGATTAATCATTCGATTTATTTAATCTAGAAATAACTGGATATAACGTTTTTTTAATACCTTCCCGTATAAGTATAAAAGTTTACATTTTTATATTTTTATATTAATAATACTGAGATGAGATAGTAAATAAATAAATGTTAGAATAATGTGATAAACAAATAAAGGAATTTTTTGGCAGGTTCTTTGTGAAACAAATGCTAAGCCTAATTCAGAAACCGATTAAATTATTCACATACATTATCGTTATCATGCAACACATCCACCACTTTACCAATTATTAAAATTGCAGGTGAAACAATTTTATTGATTTCGACCACTTTCCCTAACGTGGCAACAGTAGCACGTAGCACTCTTTCGTTTGGTCGATTGGCATTCTCAACGAATGCCGCAGGCAAGTCCATTGGATACTCTTTCTCTAATAAAACGCCACTTAATTCATTGGCTTTCCCAACCGCCATTAGAAAGACTGTGGTGCGTGTATGATGATAATTCGGTATTTCTGGCATACGCCCTTGAGTACCTTGACCTGTAGTTATAAATATTTGGTCTGCCACACCACGATGCGTAAGAGGAATATTAGCAGATAAAGGGGCTGAGAATGCACTACTAACACCTGGTATAACTTCAGCTTCCCATCCCATTTTCCTGAAAAATGCAACTTCTTCTCCGCCTCGACCAAATATAAATGGGTCTCCTATTTTCAGTCTAACAACGGTTTTGCCTTCTTTTAAAGCCTCTAGTCCCCATGACAAGAGTTGATCTTGTGAATCTTTGACTTTTGCAGCACCAGATTTTAATGCTGCAAGACGAACGTCACAATTTGCATATGATAATATGGCTGGTGGAATTAAACGATCAGATAGAATTAAGTCTGCTTTCGCAAGTACTGATGTAGCTTTATGTGTAAGGAGTGAGGGATCGCCAGGACCTGCACCGACAAGAATAATTCTGCCTTTCTTTTTTAAATTATTAGTGTCTTTCTTTGTATTATGAACTTCAATATTGTTAGAATCCTCGATAATTTCATCTTTATTGTTGGCTTGTTGAATTATTTCAATAGGTCCCGTGGATTCTCGTTTCTTATTATTGTTTTCGATATTATCTTCGGCGATTCCGTTTGATCCGTTTGAAGTTTCCTGTTTTACGTTAATATTATCTCCTTTGAAATTTTCACTGACTGTATGCTTATTACTTTCATGTCCTCCATTGTTAATGGTGATTGAATTCGAAATGTTCTCCAAAAGAGAATTATATTGTGGTACTTGATCCGATTCATAAAAAGATAATAATGCATCCATTGTTCTTTCATTCATTTCGTTCAATTCATCCAATGTCCATTGTTCACACACTTTACTCATCCAACCCATTCTCTTACTAGAGGATGAATGTTCCGGATCAATTTGACGGAGTTTTTCTCGTAATTTTCCCACTTTAGTAATTGCAGCGCCCGCTCCTTTAGGCAACGTGTCAGCAATTTGACGACGTATGATGTTTGCCAATTTTGGACCTTGTCCATTAGTCGATACAGCAATCTGAAGTGGACCATCTCGGTGTTGTGACATGAAATAGAAATCACACAATGATGGCACATCAGCCACATTTACCGGAATCTTTTTGGTTCGGCAAAGTTCATAAATTTTACGTGATTCTATAGGGTCATCGATAGCGGTCAGAACCATGTCTATTCCTTCAAGATCATTTTCACAAAATTCACGATTAATCCATTTATCCACTTGATTCGATTCAATTCGATATTTTACTTCGCTGTTTAAACCGTTCTCTGGACATACAACTATTACTTTTGCGTCTGCTTCCAAAACGCTAACAATACGTGCAGCGGCAACATTTCCACCTCCAACAATTAGAACATTCTTTTCTTTTGCACGCCAAGCAACGATAAGTGAGCCACCAGTACGAATTTTAGGATACTCCATACTCCTCTTCAGTTGTCATAAGTAGAATAGAATCACAAAAATGAATTCAAAAAAAATTTGATATTTTCAAACATCTTATATTGCATTAAATTAATCAATTACATCATATCAATTACTGCTACAACATGATCAGAAATTCACACGTGGGATTCCAAATTTGTAAGATTCTCAGGTCTGGGACTTGGGGTTAGGCATAATGATAACGATAGCAAATTTGTTTATTATCTAAGATAACGATTTTTTTTCATTATCTAGTATGATATCTGTTGCATCTGGTAGGTCGATTTAAATGCAGTCCTCTTGGAACCATAATAAAAAATGCAAAGTGTGCATTTAGAGAATGTACGCATTTATAGAAAGTAAAAATATATAGAGCTCTTATATAAAAAATTACATATATTGATACTTTAAATTTTTACAACTAACTAGAATGATCTGTTATTAATTATTAATAATTAAATCCGGGGCGAAATTGCCCGAGATAGTATGATCAACATGTTGTTTACTTGTTTGTTTTGTTTTGATTATCAATCTGACGTGTTGGCGCATCAAATGGAAAAACGCACGCGACTCACTAAATCGTAAAAAATAATGTCAACATTGGTAATAAAATTATGAAATTTTTTTCACATTTCTTCTCTTGACCAGGTGAAGTAACCATTATCAACAAGTAAAAAGTTATAATATCTTCTTATATTATAATACTTATATATCTCATATTTATAAATAAAAATCTTTCTCTTATCATTAATGTCATTAATAATTTATTCTTTTCTTTTCTCATTTTTTCAACAAATTAAAAAAATTTTTTCATAAAAAATAAAAATTATAAAATACAAAAATATTTCTTTTTATTTCTTTTCTTTATTAAATTCTTTTTTTTTGTTATTTAAATTATTTAATAATAATATTTAAATCATATTATTTTTTATATTTATTATTATTATAAAATATCTCAAGAATACTTTAGATATTCAGAAAACTTCATTAGTAAAAATAATATCTTTTATTCTTCCTATTTTATTTATTAATAAAATTTCAGATATATTTTTCAAAAATATCAAGTCAAATACAAGAAAAAATTCATATAATTATATAGTTATTATATCTAATACATATATTAAAAAATTTAAAATAGAATATATCATTTTTATTTTAATTGTTATAAATAATATATCTTATAATAATTTATTAATTATTATATTTTAATTTAATATTGATAATATTTTATAATAATTATATTTAAATATTTCTTTATTATTCAATGAAATTTCATAAAAATAAGTATATTTATATATAAAAAGCAGAAACTTTATTTTCAAAATAATTCTTTCAAGAATAATTAGAATTTATAATAAAAAATAATCATTAGTATAAAATATTATCACAGTTAAATATCAAAAAATTCTTTTTCAAAAAGTAATACTAAAAAAAATATAATTTTTATTGATAAATTCTTTTTTACTTTTTCAAATTTTTTCAAGATCAAATCTGTTTTATTAATAAAGAATTATATTTTTATATAAAATTTTCTTTTCTTAAATTTCTTAATAATATTACTTAAATTTCTATTAATAATATATATTTATCTAAAAAATATTTATCATTTTTAGTTAATATAAATTTTTTTATAATAATTATTATTAAAAATATTTTGCTTGATATTTTTTTCTTTTTTAATTTATATTATTATATTAAAATTTAATAAAAAATTATAAGTAAATAGATATATTATAATTAAATTTGAATTTTTTATATTAATTAATAATATTATTAATAAATAGTTAATACTTTTTAATTAATATTAAATTATTTAGCAAAAAAAATACTTATTTAATTAAATTAATTAAGCTTTATATAATATTATTATATTTAAACTTGATAATATTTTTTAACAAATTAAAATAAAATTATATTTTATTTACATTTTTCTATTAAATATAATAAATAATAAATAATTATTATCAGTTTTAAAAATAAAATTAATCTTATTTTAATTATAATTAAAAATTTTATTTTATATAATATTAATTTATATTAAAAATAGATCTTTTTTAAAATATATAATATTGTTACCATTTTAAGATTATACGTATGTAATTATTTTAAAATGGTAATAGTGACTGTGTTCACGGCAATTATTTACTTTTATA